AATCGCAAATTCCTCACACATGCGAGAGCTCCATTGTGGACATCATGAGCTGACCTCAGGCGACTCACGCACGACCGATCGTCAAAACCATGGGCCCAGGAAACGTCGTTTCTTCTGCCGTGCTAAGGAAAAACGTCGTATGAACCTTCAGTCGTTGCCAAATTTCCTTTGGTAAATTACGAATTTTCGGGGAATTTTGTAAATATTTTCCCTCCAATTTTTTAGATAATTTTGTTTGTTATCCCCCTCACAGTTCCTGAAAATTTCCAGGAAGAATATTCATAGCTCTCCTCAAAAATAATCATTTTACCGAAGGAAATTTGGCAACTCTCGAGTGTTCATACGACGTTCTTCCTTAGCGCGGCAGTATTGGTGAAGAAGCGATGACACCTACCCCCCACCGGACAGTCGTTTTCAAAGCCTACCTTTCCAGTCGATGAAGCGGCATCACTGATATTGATTTGGTGTCAATTTTATTAATGACCGTCCCGCTTGGAGCTATTGTCCCTTTCGAGTCCAGCTCAGGCACTGCTGGCTCATCGTTCGATACCCGTGGTTGTCGGAGGATCAGTGAATCACTCATCGTCGAACGCTCCATACACCTAACATCCATCGCTGAACAAACGCGCGCTCTTGAACCAGTTACATTACGTGATAGGTACAATAACTTCTAAAACCACGCCGTCAAATTGCAAAATCGACGAAATGAAGGGGTCTTACAACACTTGTGCGTCTTCGGTAACCCTGTAAGGTTCGTTTTTCTGATCCAACCCTAAGTAGCCGCAATGAGACAGCAATGGTGCTCCCTCCGCGGGGGAAATGTCTTATGATTCACGACCAGCGGGGCGATTATTGAAACTGATAGACAAAGCGATAGACAAAGATGACATAGGGGGTATAAAGCAATTCTCTTGGTTGAAATGGGTGGTTCTCATCGACTAAGGGGGAAAATGATAGACTAACTGTCGGGTTTCTCGTGGGTTGCCGTTACTTAGTCGATTACCTACCTCCTTTGTCCATTGCAACAACCCGTTTCCACCAATAGGATCCCTCCAAATCCCTTTTGTCGTCTTTGTCTATCGCTTTATCTATCAGTTTCAATAATCGGTCCGCTGCGGAAGATTCACCCTAACGTCGCACAGTGGATCGAGTCAATCAGAGAGGTCGGACATGAAATTTTCGACTAAAACTGCAAATTATGGTGTTTGTTTCGTCACATTTTACATTTTGAGGGGTGCCTTTTGAAGAGAGTTTCACGAGGTAGCGAATAGAACCACTTATAAAACCTCAAAAATTTGTATAGACGGAGTTACAAGCTTTTAAAGTTTCCAAATTTTATCCGACCTCTCCCATCGACTCGATCCACTGTGCGTCGGTGTCCGACCATCCCTGCGGACCGATTATTGAAATTGATAGACAAAGCGATAGACAAAGAAGACATAGAGAGTAAGAAGCGATCCTATGGGGGGAAACGGGTGGCTCTTATAGACTGAGGGAGAAAATGATGGACTAATTATCGGGTCTCTCGTGGGTTGCCGTTAGATAGTCGATCATCCACGTCCTTTGTCCATTCCAACCACCCGCTTCCACCAATAGGATCCCTCCAAATCCCTTTTGTCTTCTTTGTCGATAGCTTTGTCTATCAATTTCAATAATCGACTCGCAGTTAAAAATTGGCAGTAGAATCTGTGTTCCAAAATACCATAGACCTACAGCCGGCTGTAAGATTTCCAATAGCTTCTATAGCCGGCTACACAATTTCTTATAGCCTTTCATAGCCGGCTACACAATTTCTTATAGCCTTTCATAGCCGGCTACACAATTTCTTATAGCCTTTTACAGCCGATGGCGATTACGCAATAGCCAGGCGATAAAGTGTATGCTAAACGTTACTAATTATACGGATGCTAGGACTTAGTGAGTTTTGGGAATACTACTCTCTTTTTGGGCCGTAGTATCTTGATTTATTTTGCGAGGAAAGCTCCGTACTTTTGATGGATACCTGCCATTACTAATATATTAGAGCGCCTTCAGTTTCGTATGATACTGTGCAGTACCTCTGGTGTGAAATAGTTGCTTCAAGCGCCGTTGCAGACGGGCAGCCAGCACGCGCATTGGCGCCTACAAACCTAACAGGGATACTTCACGCGTTGCGCGAAGCGTGAAGTATCCCTGTTAGGTTTGTAGGCACCAGTGCGTCGCCGCTCCGCTTTGTGTTAGGCTCTAATATTTTATCTGGCGGAGTCAGCGTTATTCAACTCATGATTTTGAAATGTTTGCACATCCTGTATGGATTATTCTCATTTTAATTGGTGAAAAAAAATATGTATTAAAGGAAAATATAATGTGTGTATTATAAATATTAAGGTGGTTCCGTATCAAACTTATTGATTTCAAAAGCACACGAATTTCTACACAATTTCCTATAGCCTTTTATAATCGATGGCGAAAAAGCAACAGCCAGGCGATAAAGTGTAAAGCCCGGCGATAGGAACTATAGCCCGGCTGCATAATTTTTTATCGCTTCGTATAGCCCGGCCGTATGATTTTCTCCGCATTCTACAGCCAGCTATATGATTTTCCGTAGCCTTCTTTAGCCGGCTATAAGAATTGCTATGGTATTTTGAAACGCAGCTCTTATCGCCAATTTTTACCAGGGTATCTCGTCGCAAAAATGTGATGGAGCCTTATGAAACTAAAATCCCAGCTAAAACTAAAATTACTTTCTATTATTCAGATCCCTTCCAAGGCTGCAGTATCCCCCGAATATAAAGCCTAAAACAACATGTTATAAAAAAAAAAAAAAAAAAAAAAAAAAAAAAAAAAAAAAAACCTCGGTAGCTCCCTTTTCTCGACTACGCGAAAAGTTCAAGTTGAGAACTCCTCTGCCTAGCGCTCTCTTGCGGAATCCGGAAAGGCGCTAGGCGTAGTCGGTTATTTATTTCGCACTGTCCGGCGAAGGCTCGAAGCGCGTATCTCCACGAGGTCTCCTTTTGCTGTTGGGCGGTTCTCGCTGAGGAGGGCCGTGCAGAAGCGGCCGGTAACCGGGAAGAAGTGTCTGGTTGAGGAACGAGCTGCAACTTTATTGATTATCTAATTAATATTTCAAGCGGGGGAAAACTCACCTGTTGGCCGAACATGACTCAACCACCATCCCCCCTGTGTTACCCACCCCCCTGCGCTGGAGGCCACGACTCGCCCCTTTCACACACCGTCGGGCCTCTCGATACCCTTACTACGCCCGTTACTACTCCCAGTCCAGTCGTGCGCTTGTGTGTGCCGGTGATCCGGCTCTGTCGTAGTTCCCCGATTTGGTGACTCTATATCCTCCAGGCCGCTCAGCGGTTCGTTGCTTATTTTTAACTTTTCATAGTTCAATTAGAACTATAAAGGAGATTCAAATTAGTGGAGTCTAAACGTGCGAATGACCTATCATACTAAACTTAAACCAGGATTAAAATATAAAGTGACAAATATAAAGTTTTTCTTATGCTGGTCGCTTTCGTTTTATTGTCCATCGTCTGAATGATAAATTGGTCGGGCACTGAACTTCAATAATAATCCGATGTAAGTGATGAGGTTTTCGACGAAAATGCTTTGCTCATGAAAACCCGTAAATGGTACGTGCAGCTCTAGCTCGTGGTGTCCAGCGCCGGGAAAACCCGGGACTTCCCAGAATTCATTAGGGAACAACATTTTTGTGGGAAATTCAGAAAATTTATTTTTAAAACCGGAAAATTCTTAGCTTCCCGCCCCGGGGTCTCACTATTTTTTGGCGATTCACGTCCGATCTGGATTCGAATTTTAAAAATTGGATTGTATTTTGCAAAAAGGAACCAGAAGCATTGCAATGATGCTAAGATCGTGCAAATTCATCCTTTGCAGTAAAATAACTGAAATGATGAAAAAATATGAAATTTACATGGTCATTTTTGTCTTAGATTCACGGTTTTCAGCGAGTAAAATAGAAACTGTCAATGGATAATCAGGTTTGTTATCCAAGACAAAAGAAGTTGCACAATCTTAGCAACATTGCAATGCTCGTGGTTCCTTTCTGCAAAATGCAATCCAATTAATCATATGATGCTTTTTTTTTTCTCTGGGTTCGGAGGAAAATCTAGTTTTTCCGAAGAAAGTATGGGAAAAAATTAGAGCTAAAACTCAGATTCCTTCATCAGGGAAAATTGGAAAAATAGGGAATGATAAAAAAAACCTCTCGAAGACATCATGTGGGTCGCATTTAGCCCAAAGGAACCAGCGTGCTTGCAGTGTGTTCAAAATCGTACAACTTCTCCTTTTCTTTTAAAAATACTCAACATAAGTACAATATTAAAATTTACACAATTATTTCACTCTTATAGTACCAAATTTTTGGTGGGAAACAAAAACTATTTGCTATCGTGAGAGATTTTTTAAATAATTGAAAGAAGAAGAAACATTTTTACAACACTGCAATCGTAAAAAAAAAAAAAAACTGTTACTCATATGGCAGGGTTTTCAAAAGTTGCCGAATTCTCTAGTCTAAAAACATATCATCATGTGTATGTGTGATCTTCACTCCATAGTACTCAGATTTCCAGTTATTGATCGTAAAACATCAAATTTTGAGCTTTTATGATTAACCGCGTGGTGAAATTTTTTCAACTCTGCTCTCTTCCACAAGGTGGTCACTTAAATTCATCTCTCAATTTTTTTCAACTGCAGTCATCCAAAGACGACCCCTCTCTCCCCCTACAAAAAAAATGGCAAACAAAGGAAACAAAATAGATGTCAGCATGCTTTAATTCCGATAAATGGATTTTCGATCCATTTAATTTTGACTAAGAGACTCTCTTCAATCTTTTTTTTAATGTCTCTCAACCGACCCGACCTTTTCCTAATACCTAGTACCTATCCTCATTGTAGATATAGTTTTTCTCTTTATTATAGTACCTGTGCTTATTTTTGCTCCTCTCCAAAATCTCATAAATTTTCATTTTATTTGATTTTGTTTGTTTCAGATCCTATAAAACAGAACCCATATTCCCTCATAAGGTCGCTGAACCATTAAAAAGCCTATCTTGGAACATGATCCTTGCAGCAACAGAAATGCTTCAACAATAATGTTTAAATTGATCTTGTAGGGTAATCTGCATCCTTGATGTATTGGATCCACTTGTTAATGAATTGCAATGACTCAAAAACAAGTCTACTCTAACTGTAAGTAATTATCTATTTCACTACTATGATTACAAAACATCTACCATTATTTCTACTCTGAGGGCAGAAAATTGAATATTGTCATTTGGGGCTGTTTGAGAAATGCAGGGGAAATTGGAGAAAAAGGAAGAAAAAAAAGAGATTGTCAGCAACCTAGCTTGAACTAGCAGTCTTAAATTAACCTTTACTGGATTGTGGCACGATCCAGCTTTCCTATGCTTCTTTGCAGATTGATTCATTTTTTTAGTATTCATAATTTGATGTGAAGTCAATCTGATAACTGAATTTCTGATTTCAGACCATCCTCCAACATATGAGGCGTGTAACATCATTTTGCTGAACATGAAAAACCACTATCGAAGACTCTACAGCGTTAAGCCAGCAGTAGACACATCCCCGCCAGAATCATACAAACTGCTGACCCGTAAAACAAGTAGATCTCTTTCCTGCCTGGATTTAAGTCTTTCTAATCTTTCCTCTTTTAAGCTGTGCCAACGGTAAGTTTACTGTTCATTCTAACATTGTATGTTTATTACAGATTGTCCAGGAAGTACTCAAAATAATTTTTTGTGCATTGAGTGCAGCAATTTAATTCTGTTGACATGCTAATTGCCATTACTATTTTACTATTTTAGAGAAATACTATTTTCTGTTACAACAGTAAGTGAACGATGCTCATAAAAAATTGTCAGCCATCCAAAAATAGTTTAAAGAATGCCAAGAACCCATGCAGGTGCACCATCATCATGTCTTCACATGCCTGTGTAAATAATAGGGTTGTCTCTCAGAGTTGATTTTTGTGACCTTTGAAAAAATGACAGGAACCCTCTTCTTTTGTTGCATTTAACATCCCTGCTTTTGGCTTTTTTCAGACCTGACATCAAACATGAAGTACAAAATCATGAGATGCAAAGAACAGCGAAGTCCATAAACAAGAGGCATTCCTGCATTGGTGTTGACAAAGCAGCGAATCAACATTGCCGTGAGAGAAACGTATGTTGTTTCATTTACTTATTTATGAAGAAAATACACAAGTGAAGCACTCAACATAAAATATACATTATAAAAAGATGACAACAACAAAATAATGAAACATAAGCACAATTGAACAATTTGGAATGAAACAAAAGTATAACACACTGGATAATTAATATGGAGAATTATTCATGAAGAATATGACGAAGGCTCGAATTAATAAACTAAGTTAGATGAATGCTAAACAAGAAGTGGAGATCAATCGAGAGGGAAAGATCAATAAGAGGTCAAAGGACAGGCAAACAATTCCAATGCACACTACTCCTGTACTAAGCAAGAACGCCATAAATCCATCAAGATTTTCCCTCGTTCTTTGGAACTTAGCACTTTATAAAGTATAAACCGTTTTACCCATGCACCTCAAATTTTCAGGTTAAGTTTTTGATAGTATTTGCGAAAAAATTCTGTAAAAATATTGTCCCAAGGTACACAAGTTGTTCTGCTATAATACATTGTTTCCAAAAAATGTAAAATGGCGTTTACGGCGTTTTTGCACTGTACGGTAGACTAGTCATTATAAGTTAACGCAGAGCTCCTCAAGAAAAACCTAAAAGAGAAAATAAACTCTAACATAAACTCAGGAACGACAGGGAAAGATCATTGAAAAGTCTCTCCAGTCTGACAACAACAGAGTTCAAATCATAATTCGTTCTTGATTGGCTATCTAAATGAGGACAATTAACTCAAGGAACAAGGAACACCTTGCGGTCAAAGAAAGGTCTCTAAAAGCAGAAGCTAAAACGAAAGCATCGAGGGTCTTAAACCCAAACAATAAATCATGCATATCAACGATGTAAGTTGGCAATCACATAACTCGGTTTGCGACGTCGCAGACTTCCTTTCATACTTTATTTTTTAAACGGAAAACTACTCAACGGCAATTCTTTAAAACTGTCGTGATTTTTCTTCTCTGTGCGACAAAAATTCTGCAAAAACTTTAAAGAAACGACATAGAGGCGGAGATTTTCAGACACCTCAAACGAGATATGTGATTGCAGACTTACACCGTCGATATGATGCAAGGACTGAATTGGTGGTAGATTCAATTCTTCAAAAATTTCACCGCACTCATATCTTAGAGAGGTATGTGTTGGCCCAGCTTACAGGACCAAAATCTCATCAGAAGAATCATGCAAGAATCTCATGCTGAATTGACTCAAGAGCAAATCAGTCCCCTAACTGCAAGGTGACGGTATGAGGGAACGCATTTGTTACTATAGGCAGGACGATAGTTTTCAAAAGCTATATGGACCGCATTTAACAAAAAGGAACCAAGCCACATCAGCTAATGCCAAATTTATTGGGGCAATTCCATTTTTTACAATAGAACGTTTTTGTGGATTCTTCTTTTTACGGAATTAGCTTTGCGCTATGGAGAAAATTCACTGAAATTTGCGAGAAAATCTGCACAACCGTTTTCATGTAAAAAATTCAATTGCTCGATTTAAATTGGCAATAGCTGATGTGGCTTGGTTCCTTTCTGTTTCCTGCAGTTCATATGATCCCTCTGACTTCAAAATGAATCCCATTCTGGATTAATACATTTCTTCTATGTTTACCATGAAAATGAAAAAAAACTCATCATAATTATGTTTTTTCTCCTTCAGAGAGTGAAACCATCCATCTCTAGTTGTCACAGAAATCCCCGTACAGTTCTAATCAATATGGAAAATTCTAAAGTATATACTCCAAAGGAAAAAGTCTTGGACTCTGGGAAAGCATGTTCCGTAAGTTCTTTAATCTAACTGATGTTTTTCCCTATGATTTTTCGAGGAAAGTAACATTACCTCCAGGAGTTTTATAGACAAAAAGCAGGTCTCACAGAGAGATCTTGGGAGTCTTTGCCAGAGCAGGTGCTAATATGTGCTTCATTTTTCTGCCGACTTTTTGCTGCTTTGGAATCTCATGATAGGTAGTTATATCTTTCTTACACTGAAAGATATTTTGACCAATTTTTTTGCATTTAGTAGAGACTCGTTACAACTGCTATTCTGCGAAAAAAAAATTGAAATTTGAGGGAATAGATCTTGAGGGGTGGGACTCGAAAGTGGGGGGAGGTCAAATCTTGTCCACTCTATAACTCGAGTTAAAACGAATATTTTGAGCTGAAATTTTTAAGGGTGGTCGTTTGCCCCTAGGACTATTTTGGTATTGAATTTTAGCAAAATCGGCTGAGCCGTTTAATTTAAATATGGAAAATTTGAGCAAAATAGATTTAAAAATGAAGAATTTCAACACCCTCGGACATTGTACAAAGTTACATCATGAAAGAAAGATGACATGAAATCCTTAGCAAAAGAAAGCGCAACAGTGTGTCAATGACCAGTTTATGATTTGAGGCTAGGTTGTGCAGTATGTATGCGCCTTCAAGCCGAGCATCGCTTGGCATCAGATGGCTGCGCCAGCCATCTTGCCCATGTGATTGTATTTACCGGATGTAGGAGCTTGTACAAGTGGCAAAAACAACACGCTCAAACACGTTTTGAATGTCCTTTCAAAAACAAGCATTTTTTTCACCGCCAGGACAATTTTTTTAAAGGTGTTAATTCTCTCATTGTATTACTCTCATTCAAAAACTATAGAAACTAATTGTTTGTTAACTGTTCCCTTCTGGACTTGATTATCTTATCATAAAACAGAATTCCCTCTAATTATGCTCCTGTACATCTATTTCACTCCTTAATTAAAATTTTCTTGCCAATTTCTTTTTTAGGAATCTAGTCAAGACTCAGCTTACAATGAAGGCGAGATTGGGTCAAGTGAGCGAGGCAGCCGCACTCCTACCCCTGAAACTGTCGTGAACACTTCATCCAAGATTGCTTCCAACCCGGCTCTAGGATCCTCTACCTACTGTAGAAGGTGTGTTAGGGTTGGAAAATTTTTTTGATCAAGCAGAGTAACTATTTCGAACTGATTGCTGTTCAAAGCACGTGTCATTTAGACTAAGTGTTGGTGACTTGTTAACGTGCGTTGAAGTCCATTGTATAATTGATATTCTCATATTGAGAGAAAAAGCTCATCTGAGCACAATTTTTTTTCTTTAGGGAGTTGTGCTGTTTGACGCAAAACTAGTCGCAACCAATCAGGTAGACAAACATAATAGACCCCCATAATACATCTTCAATGTACAAGTGAATCCTTCTATAAAGAATCATAAACTCTACTTTTTTAAACTCTCTTCTTGCCACTTCTTCTTTGCTCATTGTGAAAAGAAGTGGACGCTCCCTTACAGGATATCCAAAACAATTCATTAGACCTCTGTTAATCTTTTCATTGTTTTCAGGACCAGAAGCTACCTGTATCTGAAGTTCCTAGCTGAAATCACAGATGAAATATTGAAGAAAGGTGTCGTCACAAACAAAGCTCTGAAACGGATATTTAACCACCATCTTGAGGCCAACATTTACCATTTAAATCAGGTATGAAATTATAAACTTTTGAGCTACGCTTTATCCTTAGTCCTTTGTCATAGCTCTAAAATAACAGAATTAAGGAGGTAGGTAGGGATGTAGGAAGTCCCCAGTTTTCCCATTTAAAAATCGAGCGTTTTATTTTAAAAATTTTAACCCCCCCCCCACACACACTCTATTTTCATACTATGACATGGTCTCCTTGTTCCAGCACCGCATGCAGCTAGAGTTAGAAACCCTCCGCAACAAACTTGGCATTCCAGAAGATGACGCCCAGAATGCAGCAGACTTTGGTGTTGGTAGCGGTGAAGGCCCAACTTGTCAACCTCTCTTCCACGACCTCCCTGGTTTTGACGACCAAATGAGCACCAAATCAGTACTGCAGAAAGGTCTTCTCACTTCCAAAATGGCCTGGACGCCTGAAGTTTTGGAAGCTTTTACTGTGCTCGGTGACAATCAGAAACTCATCAATAGTATACAATCAAGCGTCAAAAGTGTGGTTAAGAATTTGCGGCAGGTCAGTTTGTCAGTTTCTGAATCTAAAATCAGTAGTAAAAGGTCATCCAGTAATCAGGATAATAGTGAGAAAGTCAGTGGGTTAAGTTCCTTAAGGACAGATTCAAACATGGATCCCCAAAGTACAAGTTTGCAGAGGAGTTCATGTGCCCTTCAAATTCTTGATTCCCACAGGACGTCTCACTCCAATATGTCTAGTGACAGCAGCCAAAATTCTCGTACTTTGGATAACAACATTAGCATAAAATCAACTAAGGAAAATGTTGATTTATGTTTTACTAGATCAGGGGTGAGCGTGCCCTCCCAAAATACTAGTTTGCAGGAAACTTGTTTACATTCTGTACCTCTTAGTAGTGTGATAGATTCTGATTCAGTAACAGTGGAGAAAAGTGACGGTTCAAGTCTTCAAAACTCTAATAAAGTGCTGGAAAATGTTGATAGCATAAAATTAAGTCCAAAAAGCTGTGATCTATTGATGCCATTAAATGAATCTGAAGGAACTCAGGTCTCTAAGTTCGTTGAATCGCAAAAGACTGAAGCAGCGTCCCAAAAATCTTCAAATAGTTTAGAGTGGAACTCCCCACATGCGAGGATAGACAGCGTTACGGAGCTTGACAATTCCCAGGAAGCAGTTAACTCTTAAATGTTACTTAAGGAGAAATAGTTTATATCTTCAACCAAAAGTACTGAGAATTGTGAATTTCATGATCCTGCAATTTTTTATTCAGAAGAAGATAGATCTTTCACGTATCCTAAAAAAATGATGATATTTTAACTTGTCCATCCCAATACAGCGACTGTTTGTGACCATTTTTTTACATCCTCTGATTCCAAATAGGCCTCGTTTGTTGAGCCAAGAGCATCATAATGCACCATTATTTCATTATTGAGGCATTACCGCCTTTAATACTTAATCCTGTCTTATTCTGTTATTCTTTACACCCAAAAACTTTAACGTTCAGGTGTCACTTATGTCGTGGTCGCCAAGTAGGTGTACTCACGAGGGAGAATTCAGGAGACTATCACCTAAACAGTCACGCACTCTTCATTCATTCATACAGGAAGAAGTGCCTTTGCTGAAAAAGCAAAAACTGAAAGAAGAATACACTTAGACTGCCAAGAGCAGCACAATAAAAACCGAATATCAGATTTTTGAAAATGTCGCCATTAAGCATGTCTTGCAAAGTTATTCAAGGTTGACCACCTAGGGGCCAGAAGAAGCTCAAAAATTTCTGAAGAAGTTGTTAAGAAAAGCAGAACAACATGATCATCAACAAGCCATTCACGGTTCGTTTCAGAGGGAGGTAAATGAAATTGTGTTGCCCACTCAAAATTCCTTCAGGATCTTGAAGTAGGATGCACACACAGTCATTTAAGCCTAAAATGAAAATATTCTGTCGAGCTCTTCGAAAATAAAATCGATTTTTGTGTTTTTGGCGCTAAAATGGCCTTCAAAAACGATCGATGATTTGATTGCGATGGGTTGTGCATATGTAAAATGGTACATGTGTAATGGACTCTACGTATTTTTGGACCAGGAATCGATTGAGCAGGGTCCTGAATCGGTCCGAAGCTTCATTGACCGAAAAATGGGCCTTTTTTTGGATTTTAGGGGTGCTTTGGGCCCATTTTCCCCCAATTTTGGTGTGAAAAAACCTGTACCGTCATGGGTAATGATTATCGGGTCATTTCGGGCGGACCATCGAATGCACATGGTCCCGAGACACTCCGGGGCTTCCGGAGTGATACAGGGTTTTCGAGATACAGGGGATCAAAGTCCCCGATTTTCACTCAATTCTGCAGGTATTTTAATGTTCAATTCCGACTATAAATTGTTTTCTGATTTAGATATCGAAGCGCATTTTGCGGTGGTTGATTCAGCTACGTGTGGTGGATTTTTCTACATATTTCACAAACCCTCACTTTGTTTTTTTTGTTTTTGGGGGGGGGGGGTGTCTTTTTCTGTACAGGGTGTGCACAAGGTATGGGTACTTGTTAATACCTCAAGAACGGTGGCAGATATTGACTTACGGTTTGGACGAAACTTCCTTGAATTAAAGTAGGTACATTTT